CGTGTCCACCAACAGATGAATGGATAAGGACATCGTGGCATATAGACACGGTGGAATATTACTCAGCCATAAAAAAACGAAACCTTGCCATTTGCAAATGAGAAGACCTTGAGTGCACTGCACTAAGTGAAATAAGTCAGACGGAGAAAGACAAATATTGCATGATCCCACTTACATGTGCAACTTAAAAAAACCTGAACGCAGGGCAGGGGCGCCTGGGTGGCTCAGTCGGTTAAGCGTCCGACTTTGGCTCAGGTCATGATCTCATGGTCTGTGGGTTCGAGTCCTGCGTTGGGCTCTGTGCTGACAGCTCAGTGCCTGAAGCTTGCTTGGATGCTGTGTCTCCCTCTCTCTCTGCCCCTCCTCTGCTCACACTCTGTCTCTCCAAAATGAATACAGGTTAAACAAACAAACGAAACCCCCTGAAAACATAGATCCAGAGAACAGACTGGTGGTTCCCAGAGGCAGGAAGTGGGAGGTGGGTGGTATGGGAGGAGAGGGACCAAATGGCACACACTTCCAGGTACAGGACAAAGGGGTCCTGGGGCTGTAATGTACAGCACGTGACTGTAGTTAACAACACTAGGTTGTATATTTGAAAGTGCCTAAGAAAGTTGGTCTTAAAAGTCCTTGTCATAAGAAAAAGAACGTTTTGTAACTATGGGAGCTGGTGGATGTTAATTAATTATTTACTTTAGTTTCTTATTTGCAATGTATACCTATAGTAAATCCTTATGCTATACCCCTAAAATGAATACAGTCTTATATATCAATTACATCTCAATTAAAAGTAAGTAAAATAAAATAAAATAAAATGCAGTTTCTTAGTTGCACCGGCCACACTGCAAGTTCTCGACAGCCACCTGTGGCTAGGGGCTGCTGGACCGGCTGGGGCAGACACAGAGCTTTGATACCACTGCAGAAAGTTCTCTGGGGCAGCATGGGCTTAGGCCATCACGGCATATCACAGAGATACGCCACTGGGGAAATCTAACATCCATTCATTCACAAACTACGTAAGGAACAGCTTTTCTGTATATGAAATATACCCCTGGGTGCCCATGCCGCCTCACTCCCTGTTGTGGCCGGGCTGGAGGCGGTACCTGTACTGGTTATGCTGGCGGTGAAGATGATGATAATGTGCCTGCTGCTGAAGCCTGCTACCAGACAGCAGATAACTAACAGGGAGCGGCCGAAAGCCCACTTTTCGGACGGGTCACTACATGCCCATCTGAGGTGTCTGGTTCCTTCCTCCCAACAGCTGTAGCTCTGCAGAGGGGGTGGCGTGGGGAAAAACCAGAAAAACCAACCCCCCTCCTGCTCCCCTCCCTGCCGTGTCCCCTGCAAGTCACTAGCTGGGCCGAGTCATGGAATCTGACGAGTATCAAAAAATGTGACAGACATATTAGCGCGTCCTCCTGAGCCTGAGGCAGACATCACTGATCAATCACACACTCTTTTCTTTTTGAACCAGAAGGAAGGTTCCAGATCCTTCTCACAACAGCACTCCAGGCAGCCATTACCAAGCAGAGCTGGTAAAAAAAAAAAAAAAAAAAAAAAAAAAAAGACGCAGACTACCTGCCCCCTAGGAGCTCACTTCTCTGAGCCCCAGCTTCTTCATCTCCAAGGCTGACACCACCTTGTGCGATTATTGGGGGTTAGTTGAGATGATTCATTTGTCAGTTATTTGTGTTATCCGGGTGCCTCGCGCCTGCCTGATGGACGCAGCGCTGGCTAAACGGCAGCTGTGACAAGGACAGACATCTGTGTGCTGCCTTCTGTTGGCCTGTGTGGATGGATTCCAGCCTCTGTGTCTTTCCTTCCTCTAAAGTCCCTCCCCTCGGGGCCAGCCCACACTCACCCCCTCACCTAATGAGGGCGGAGAGGAGCCCAGAAAAGTTAGCCAGAGGATTTAACAGGCGGCATATTTTCCTAGAAGAAAGTCTTCCCTTTTTCTAGCACCTTCTTGTCTTCTGTTCTAAATACACCTTCGTCGGATTAGCTCCCCCCCCACCCCCCCAACCCCGTTTCACTTTTCTTCCTTGGATTCCCATACACAAAACACTATTAACAAGTCGTGCCTACCAGGCTGAGCTATATTTCCTATAAACTCTCATTTTATCTCCTCTAAAACACACAGTAATAGCATTCTCCGGAGAATATTAAATCAAACCAACCTGCAGCTGCATTTGTTTGCGCTTTCTGCCCCCGGTAAATTCTGGCAACAGATGGGTGTACGCGTTACATAAGCACGGCCCCGTCAGGGACCGCAGTCCTCGCGCTCCGCTCGTTCGGTGCAGACAGGTACCTCAGGACTCTAATCCCCGCAGCCACAGCTCCCCAAAGCACCCGCAATGACACCTTGATGTCCTGCTCCTCTTTTTTATTCTTAGCACACAGGGACGGCTGAGTGCAGGTTCAAGAGGAAAGGCGGGCCTTGGCCCAAAGGGATGGAGCTTATCGGCTTTGTAATCCAGCACATAAAATCCGCTTTTCTTGGCCTGAGACGTGTGGGCTGTGCTACAGGGCATGCGCTTGGGCAGCCAGCACGGTTTCATTCCTCATTCCAGAAGATGCCATAGACCGCCTGCCAGGGAGTGCCCAGGAAGGAGAGAGCATGGCCCCAGTCGCTGGTGGTGTCTGCGGCTACAGAGGGGTGGGGGGCCTGCTGGGGCCTGGAGGACGGCCCCTAAGCCCTCAGCTGGACGCCTGAGGGGTGCGGGTGGGGTGGCTGAGAGAATTAGCAGGAAGAAGTACAGAATGTGGGGGAGGGGAAGGAGGGAGGAGGGGTGGACTCCTCTGCACTTGAGCCTCAGCCCTGCCTTTAACCTTCCTTACTAGCCTGCTGAAACGCCCTCAACTCTGACTCTTGGTGTCTCATCCGAATATCAAAAAGCGTGAGATGGCTGCTTGTGGGGGAATGAACTCATTCCTTCACCTGGCAGCCATGCGTCTCTACTCTTCCCCGGGCCAGAGGTGGAGAGAGCTCAGGCCTGCTCCCCGCCCAGGGGCCGTCGTGGTGTGGGGGAGGCGGGTGTCAGTCCCAGCACAGGGGTGATGGAACATATTCAGGAGGTCCAGAGTGCCATAAAGGCCAGGGGTCGGGGCCAGCTTCCTGGAGAAAATGAGGTCTCGTTTTCCAGGAATCTGTGGCAGAGGTGGACACTTTGAGCTGAGCCAGGTGGGAGGGGGCCAGGGCCTCCCAGGGTCACTACCGTGCTGGTGGTAGAGAGTCAGGGCAGCTGCCACCCTGGGATGTGGAGCCGGCAAGGGGGAGGGGCTGATGGGAGACATGGGGCCTGGCACACAGGGATTATGAGGCCCTTATGTCACACTAAGGGGTTTGCCCTGGATCCTCCAGGTCAGGGGGAGCCTCTGAGGCTGTGAGGCAGCAAAGGATGACGATCCGGTGTCCCAGGGGATGGAGACAGACCAGAGGCCTGGGCCTAGGGGCAGGGAGAGCGGTTCAGAGGCTGCACCCTTCCCCACCACTGTGCCTTTGCACATGCAGGGCTCTCCACCTGGGATCTGCCTTTTCCACCTCGGCCCTGTGCTGTCTCTTTCCACTATAGCTCAGAGGTGTGCTCCTTCAAGCCCCTTCCCCGAGCTCCTCCAGCCTGATGCAGGCTCCCTCCATGCTCCAGGGGCTACAGTCTAGACAGGCCAACTCCAGCCCAAAGATGAGTTTGCTTTGGATTGTATGGTGGTTTCAAAAGAATTTCAATTAGCTGTTGACATTTACAAACCGGAGAGGCTCCCATCAAATTCCACATTCCCGGCTCCCTGGGAATGTTCAGAAGACCTAGCAGCACTGGCTGGCACTCCTATACAGCAACCATTAGCCGAAGCTGAAAAGGGGCCTTCCCTTTACCTGACACACGTGCTGCATGCGTTTGCCACACTCCCCACCATGCCCTACTGTCCCCACAACATTGAAACTGAGGACCAGTTTCCATCGTTCATCTCCCTTGCACAATTGCTTTCCTGAGAACAAGCTGGAAAGGGGAGTAGAGTGATTCTCGTCCTTGTGTTTGTCATAAGAGGGGAAACAAGATAGGCTGAGGGGGTCCTGTCCCTCCTCACCCACTGAGTTCCCTACTGAGTTCCTGGGGCTTGTATGTGAAACCCTGGGCGCTCTGTGGCCACCTCCATCAAGGCCTTCAGCACACGGCCTCTTATTTTTACATCTACTTGTCTGCCAGCTTTTAGGCCAGGAGTACTTCGGGGCAGGGACAGTGTCTGTGATACCAGTGTCCTCTGAACTTATCAGGAAGGCTGATGGTACAGGTGCTCAACAGTAAATGCTGAATGAAGGAATAAATACAAACAAGAACATGACAAAACAGTCCAGAGAAAAATTCCAAACCTTGATCTTGGCTAGATCAAAGTCGTGCAGCTGGCTTGTGTTGCCCGGGTGTAGGCGGCGGTGTGGGGGCAGAAAAGAGGGCAGGGATGCTGAAACCGGCAGGGATAGAAGAGCACAGAGGTTAAGAGCCTGGCTGCTCAGAGCGGGGTTCCCCACACCAACAACACTGACACAGCCGGATGCAGAATTTTGGGCTCTGCTCCAGCCCTGCTGAATCCGAACTTGCGTTTTAGCGAGAGTCCTGGTAAGGTGTCACAGATTAAGGCTTGAGAAGCCCTGGCTAAGTGAATGGGCCCAGAGCCTGACCACGTGGGTTCAAATTCTCACTGTGACGCTTCCTTGCTGTGTGACTTGGGGCACGTCACACAACCTCTCTGTGTGTCTGTTTCTTATCTATTAAAGTTGAGCCTCAGTTCCTATTTGTCGGGTTCCCACAAAGGGCAGCCACACCTGCAGGATGAGGCCCTGTTCCTGGTGGCACCAACCATGCAGTGTGAAACGCACCACCAGGGAGGAAGGGCCGCCGTGGGGCCTCCGCGGACCCATTTCGCAACTTCAGCACTCGGGCTATTGGACAGCGCTGAAGTGCTTCCGTCAGTCAAATGCCTAGCAAGGAGTCGGGGTCCTTACTTACACCATCAGCTGTCCAGTAATTCCAAACCTTGATCTTGGCTAGATCAAAGTCGTGCAGCCGGCTCGTGTTGCGGATAACAAAAAAGAGCTGGAGCGGCGGGTGGAAGGGGCACGTCCACAAGGAAGGATCTTTCTTGCTCTGAAACACCAGCAAGAGAGGGAAGTCATTAACCCATTTTTCTGCCTCTTTCTAGCGTAAAAAAGCTAAGGGAAGGAGGCTAGGCCTCCTCTCTGTAATCCAAGGTGGAGTCTTAGAGCTTAGCCGCCTGATCTGCACTTTGGAGCAGATACTGACTCATCCCTGGCACAAGGCTGGCATGAGGGCCTCTCCGCTCTGCCATTCAGACTGAATTTAAAGTGCAGCGGACTTTATTCTAATCAATTTAATCAGCTCTGGGGAGATTGCTGGGGATGGGGAGCGAGGGGAAGGGAGGTTGGGAAAAGAGCCATCACTTGTGCTATTTCATTAACCTGGCAAACAGAGCCTTTGGTTTTCTTTTGTAAAACAAACAAACAAACAAACAAAAAACAACTCTGTAGAATTAAAAACACTTAAAAATAGAAAAGAAAGAAAAGAAACTGGTACAGGCAGTGGGATGGGGCTGTGGCACTTAGCCTCAGGATTTGCTCTGTTCCTGGCAGGGTCTCCAGGCCTCAGGACCCCAGAATGTGGTTTCTGCCTGCTGCTGAGACTGCCAAAGCTGCTCTTGAGGCCAGAGGAGCAGGGAAGCCCCACTGCCATATGCATTTGCACCAAAAGAATTCCATGCCATGGGTGCTTTAGATGCAGGTGGAAAAAGCCAAATCTGGGGACTTTTCTCAGCTCCAGCTGCCTCCTGTTTTGTCTCTTTGGATACCTCTTCTATGCTCTGTCCAGAGAAAACTCACAGCTGCTCCCAAACACCTCCCTGCAGGCTTGGCCTCAGTGCCTTTGCACAGGCTGCAGGCTTCTGTTTGCAATACTCTTCCAGCCCTTCCCACCCAGGGAAATTCAGCCCAAGTGTGCTGTCACCCCCACAGTCACCCCTTCCCTTCCATCATCACTCTCTCCTCCAGGCACCCAGGGTTCCTTGCAGTGCCTAAGGTTAGCATTTACTCCATGTCCCACAGCCACCTGTTTTCAAGTCCAGGTCACCCCTGCACACACTTGACCGAGAGCTCCTCAAGGGAAGTGACTGTGTAGAATTTCCATACTGTTCCCTGGCACATGGTAAATGCCACAGAATCTTTGTTGAATGAATGAATGAATGAAATTTACTTCCTAACAGCTGTCCTTTCACTGCAACTAGAAGAGGCCATCAACTGACCTGGCCTGCAGGACTATTTTGTTTGGCTCATGAAGTATTCAAAAACATTGTTGTCAACATTTAGAGATGGGGAGATTTCGCCTTTCCCTCCAGAGCTGGTGTGTCCATATGCAAGACACAGGGCAACACAGGGCCCTGGACAGCTGCTGGCTGGAGCCTTAGGGCATAGGTTCCATGGCCGGGGCCGCCTGGGGCTCTTGGGTGCCCCAGTCTCCACTGCTCCCTCCAGTGTTAATTTTTTTTTTTTTTTGGAGAGTGAGCTGGGGAGGGGCAGAGAGAGAGAGGTGGACAGAGGATCTGAAGCAGATTCTGTGCTGACTTCAGGGATCCTGAGATGGGGCTCAAACTAATGAACCGTGAGATCATGACCTGAGCCAAAGTCAGATGCTTAACTGACTGAGCTACTCAGGTGCTCCAGCCTACAATTTTAGTTTTACACCCACTTCTCTTTCCAGGTTATGCCTGTCTGGCCCCTGCGGAAATCTGAGTCTAGGGTCCCCTCCTAGCAGCTGACGGCTGCAGCAAGCCCCATCTGCCCACATATAACCACCACATCCTTGATACCGGCTGAAGTTGTCCTTTTTACCTAAATGGAGCACCACTGGGTATTTGAGAAGGTCTCAACAGACTCCTGTCACCAGGACCACGCCAGCTACTTGACAGAGCCAGGGAAGGAGGAGATTGGCTGACTCTGGGGTTTTGCTGCCCCCCAGGAGATGTGAGGCCCAGGCTCCAGCTGCGGGGGGGAGAACAAAGGTAGCTTGTTCCAGTGACAATGGTGCCTTTCAGGAGGGAGGAGGTTGCTTTTGTCAAGGGGGAGAGACGAGTTCAAGGGGTTCTGACTTACTCTGGCCAAGTCTCTCAAGCTCTGCAAGAACTTTCAGTGCTCTGGGCAGCTGCAAGGGGTCAAGATACCACATCTCAGCATCCAGCCAGTGCATCTCATTCCTGCCTCAGGCTGGGGCCTAAATTGGGTCACTGTGGCTGCCTGACAAAGGAAGAGTCTGCAGGCTGACCCTTAGACACGGGCGAGGGGACTGTAATTGATTTCCCATCGCATTTCTGTCAGCAGGAGGGGTAACAGGAGGGCTAAGTAGGAATCATGGTGTTCAAAGTCAAAGAACATTAACCTGCGGGTAACTCAGGGCCTCATTAGCAGACACGGTCTCCGAGATGAGGGCTGACGGGAAGCCGCTGAGGGCTGGCCGAGGCACTCTGGGCAAACCCCCGGCGGCCAGGCCAGCCGGCCGAGCCCATCACAGGCGGGAACAGGGACGGCAGAACAAGCATCGGGGTACTCTCGTGCTGCTGCTGTGACCTCACTGGGTTCTCGCCAAGTCCTGGGAGAGGACTAGTGTCATAACCCTCCCATCACAGCTTAGCAAGGGGGCAAGAGGGGAACGGCATGCCTAAGTGGTGGAGTGTGGATTTACACCTATTTTAATTCATTAGTTTGTGCTGTCTTAGTTTGTATTCTCTCAGAGGCAGAGCCCCCAGGCAAGGATTTGAGTGTTAGGAGATTAGTTAGACACCAAAGGAGCGTTGGGGGGAAAGGCATCCCATAAAGAGTGTGTTACCAAGCGAGCCTGCCCCTGTGGCATCTGGAGCTCGGTGCCACCAGGCAATCTGGGGGCCAGAGCAGAAGATGCCTCAGAGCAACTCCACCCTCGGGACAAGGGAGCTGGGGGATTCATACCCCGAAGCCCACTAGTGGAGGTGGAGCCCTGCTCCTGCGGGCTCCATTCCCCACCAGCTTGGGCGCACTGCATGGGAGGCAAAGTGGGCCCCGGAGGCCAGAAAAACACTCCTCCATCAGGGAAACATCTGTGTCGGCAGTGGGAGGTACAGCCAGCACACAGAGACGTGGGAAGGGCCAGGGGCCAGGGAGGCTCTGACAGCATCTGTCACCCACTTGCTCAATACAAATACCCTCCTGGGGGGCAGGTGCCAAACAGCATGCAGGGGTGGGCGGCGGAGCCTGGCCCACCGGGTCCCAGCTCTGCACTGCCGGGGAAGCAAACAAGTAAAATTGCCAAGAAAAAACCCCAACCAGGCAGGGATTAACTCGACAAGGAAAATAAGAGCGAATTGTTAATGACCAGTGGAAGGGCATTTTTAGAATGGAGGGTCGGGGCACCTGGGTGGCTTAGTCAGTTAAGTGTCTGACTTCGGCTCAGGATCTCACAGTTTGTGGGTTTGAGCCCCGCGTCGGGCTCTGTGCTGACAGCTAGCTCAGAGCCTGGAATCTGTTTCAGATTCTGTGTCTCTCTCTCTCTCTGACCCTCCCCTGCTCACGCTGTCTCTCTCTCTCAGAAATAAATAAAAAAACATTTTAAAAATCTTAAAAATAGAATGGAGGGTCCGGGGAGGCAGGAGATCCATTTCTAATTCCTAACAAAGGTGCTTTCCTCTTCCAGAATTAACCTAATACAGATCCACCCCCTTCAGGGATATGCTGGATTGCCCTCAGAAATAGCCCCAATTTAATAAATTATAATAATCAAAAGGAACGAGTTATGGATACACACAATTTGGATGGATGTCAAAGGCATTATACTGAGTGGAAAAAGCCAGCCTCAAAAAGGTTACATACAGTATGATTCTATTTATATATAGCACTCTTGAAGCGAAAAAAGATCAGTGGTTGCCAATGTTAGGGACGGGTGTGGGGAGATACAGCTGTAAAGCATTGCCAGGGGGAATCCTTCCGCAGTGATGGAACTGTTCTATTTTGCATTTGTGTATTTTGATGTGGTGGTGGTTACATGAATCTACACAAGTAACAACATTGCATAGAACTCATACACACACAAATGTGTATACGAAGGTCTGCATATGCTACTAATGTCAATTTCCTGGGTTTGACAATGTACTAGGTATACAGAGTGTCAGCACCAGGGGAAGCTGGTGGGCAAGCGCACATGGAACCTCTCTATACTTTTTTTTTAATTGAGATATAATTCACATATATATAAAATCACCATGTTCAAGTGTGCAGTTCAGTGGGTTTTGTTTTGAGTATATTCCAAGGTTGTGAACCATCAACACTATCTTTTTCCAGCATATTTTATCACCCTAAAAAAGAACTCCACACCCAGTATGTGGCCTTCTGTGTCTGGGTTCTTTCATATCCCATAATGTTTTCGAAGGTTCATCCCAGTTGCAGCATGAATCAGTGCTTTGTTCCTTTTTACAGCTGAGTAATATTCCATTGTATGGACATACCACAATTTCTTTATCCATTCATCAGCTGATAGACATTTGAGTTGTTTCCACCAAGTGGCTGTTATGAATATACTGCAATGAACATTGTGTATAAGTTTTTATGGGAACACATTTTCAGTTCCCTTGGGTCTGCACCTAGGAGTGGAATTGCTAGGTCATATGCTAACTCTACATTTAACTTTTTGAGAAACTGCCAAACTATTTTGCACAATGGCCACACCATTTTACTTCTGTATTCCTGCCAGCAAGATATGATTTTTCCACATGAATGGCCAATACTTATTGTTTTCTCTTTTCTTTCCAAAAATTGTAACAACCTTGTTGATATGAAATGATACATCTTTTTGGTTTTGATTTGCATTTCCTTAATGACTAATAATGTTACTGGCATCTATCCTGTGCTTCTGGGCCATGTAGGTCTTCTTTGGAGGAAAGTCTATTCCGAGTACTTTGGTCATATTTTCGGTAGGTTGTTTGTCATTTGGTTGTTGAGATTCAGATTTCTTTTCTTTATTAATTCTGGATGATAGGCCCTTATCAGATATACGATTTGCAAACATTTTCTCCCATTTCATAAGATGTCTTTTCAACTTTCTTGATGAATGTC